GGGAGGATTGAAACCAGATGATCACTGTGGTCCTTTTCAACCCAGGCCATTCTATGATTCTATGATATGCCTGCAATGCAATACAACTCATGAAAACTGAATACTGCAGAATGTGATATGCACAGCTATACTCCAGTTCTGTCTGTTAATAGGACATCAGTTACTCATGCCACTATGTTATTTTAAGACTGAATGAAACACAGTTGTGGAACTGGAAACAGTACTCAGTAAAGAGAGACATAGGAATCTAAGTAAGAAATAGGCTGTTATAAGTTCCAAAGTAATATCATGAAATATTAGAGCTGCATGAATCTCATTATAAGCTGTTAACTTTGCCCAGGACAGCTACCAATTCTTATCTAATTTTAGGAAAACTCTAGAGGGAAAGATTCCTCTTAAAAATGATAGTCAAAACTACTCAATGAGAATATCTTCTGTGCAGACAAGAAAAATGTTTCAAAAATACTCATGCTGCCTGTAGATAGAAGAGAAATAGTGTACAACTAAAGGACTTTCTTCTCTATTACACTTTTTTTTTTTTTTTTAAGTTGTACTTGATGAAAGATGGAGGGAAATAATTTTTAATTCATTGTAATAGAGATACAGCATGGGTAAAGAGAGTTTTAAATACACTGCTGTGCCCAGACATTCCAATCACTGTTCCATGTAAAAAGCGTTCCATCAGGGCTGCATTGGTGAGAGGAAGCACTGCCTTCTTTCTTACAGAAACATTGGGATGCTCTCCTTGCAAGGGAAAATTTAGATGTATTGGGCTGAAGTCCCTGTTGAAGCAGTAAAAAAGAACTAACATTACAGAACCAAGAGGGACATGTGAGAATGAGCAGAACGATCTTCATGGCTAAGAAAAACAGTGGCAGTAGTCTGAAATGGAGTACACTAAGGGCTACATTAGAAAAAGAAACATAAACTTATTTTTAATTGCTTGTCTAAAATTGTTCTTTTAATGTTTGTTTCTAAGTTCAGTTTCATCAGTTCACTGAGATATCTTTCTGTTCTCAGCTAGTGTTGTGAGCCTCCCGGAGAATACAAGACATCTAGGGGTAGCAGCCTATGTGAAATAATTTGTCTTTGCAGTCCACAAGAAACTCAGACAGTGTTCCAAATCTGAAAGCCATTCCTGTTAATTTAACATGAATATTGCCTCCTAGAAACAAATACTCAACTATTCTTCCAAGTATGCAGCCTTATGAATACCACCGGTGAAGACACAGCATGTAAGTCAAACTAAGCTTTAAAAAAAGAGAATGAAAATGAAATATTTGAATGTAAAGCCAAAGTTACACTATCCCATCTACCATTCCCTTTTCTGATATCAAGCAGTTCTGAACGGCTATCAGTCTTAAAGGCAACCATTTGAACTGGCCAGCCAAATGGCCACTGATTTTTCAATTAGCTGGAATCCTAAGCCAACAACAGTGCTGGCTGTCCTCAGGGGAAATCTCTTCTTTCTGGCTCTGGGAAGCCTGGTCTGGTGGTTGGCGACCCTGCATATAGCAGGGGGGTTGAAACTGGATGATCATTGTGGTCGTTTTCAACCCAGGCCATTCTATGATTCTGCAAATCTTTTAAAATCTCTGTGAGAGACGAGCAGGAATTCTCCCTCTTTTGGTATGTTATATATGTGGAAAAATCATCATACATATCCAATCCAATCCATCACACACATCATACATCCAATACCAATGCACTTCTAGTATTAGGATACTTATCCTTCCTTAGAAAATAAAACATACTTTTTAGATGGGATTAAACTGCTTTTTGCTCTTTGCTTTTGAAAGTGATGCCTACAGTGTTTGGTAACTTTGAGAAAATAAAACTAAGGGTTATATGAAGATATGCATCTCTGCCTTATTTGTATGACACTTTAAGCGCTACAATATTTTTGCTTTCTTTGTTTAACAGAGCAAAAGTAGATTAATTTTAAAAACAATGTTATGAAAGATCGTTTTATTAAAACAAAATTATTTTATTTCCCTCTGAAGCTGGCAATTTTTTGGTAGTTAATGATGACAGTTAAGCATTACGCTGAGACTGCAGATAGAATTTCCAGCAACCATGGAAAATAACCTATTTAAACCAAGATACTTGGATACTTTGTTGAGTTAATGCTCAGATCTTGAAAGAGGGAACATATTGAAACTTTTGTTGGTGTAATGAGAAAGATCTGAGAACTAAAAGAACACAGCAGTTCAATTTATACTAATTGCAGGTATTTCCTAAGGTCATGTACTTATTACAGAATAAGATCATTTTGTGTAGATTCTTTGATTGTATTTAAGCCTTCAGGCGTGGCTTTTGTCTTTGTAGTACAGAAGCAAGAGGCAATTTATTGCATTTGTGAACACAGCTATAACGCAGTAAATGGAAAATCAGTTCCCTGGTTTTCCCATGTCTATCTTATCCAGCAGTTTGTCCTGGTACTGCTTTCCTACTAAGAAGATACATAGGATGGACAGTAAGAAAGATAATGTGCTTGTAGTTTGGACTAATTTAGATAAAATATATTGTAAGAAATAATATGAAATAAAATCCAAATCAGATCAGTTTCAGAGTTTAAGTTCATTATGTGCTTGCCTAAAAGAAGTTAAAAATTGCAATTCAAAATCATAGACAAAATTGTTTTTTTATTAAAATAATGCCACAATGATAAAGATATTCAAGATGATAATTAATATTCTAGTAAACATATAATGATTTATCAAAGAAAAAGGCCTGTTGCTTCCCTGCACATTTTTTATGTCTGCTGCATATCAGAAGACAGAAATTAATGGTATGTCTGCGTACTCTTTTGTGACTCTTCTCTGTAAGTTCTCCTAATTTAAGTTAAATAGGGTATTATTTCCTACCTCCACTTACAATTTAAAAACAAAAGGCAACTACATAAAATAAACCCAAACAGGAGTCTGTTTTAAAATAAATAGTCCCTAAAGTTTCAAGATATCTGTGGATCAATAAATGTTTTCCAGTATTTGATGGACAGTGAGACCTTATCTCCTGATCCGCCTCCTACTTTTCAGTTTGACATTTTGGCTGACTTCCTTGAAATGGTTCACAGTAATTCTTTTCAAAGATAGTGATTGATGCTGATAAAGGAACGCATTAATTGTAGGCCAATCCAGCGGATAGCAAGCTACTCAAGCCAAGCAAGTTAGTTTTGCTTTACACTGGAATTCCAATGAAGAGAAATAAAATGCTCTATATGTCAGGAGTTCAAAACCAGCAAATAACTCTGAATGAATAATAGTCTGGTGGGACATTATAACTGTTGTTTATAATTTTACTGTCCTTACTTTTTTGAAGTTAATAAAAACATGGATACAAATTCAGAGTAAATCGTAACAGTGAAATGTTAAGTGTTTGTTGTTGTTGTTTTCTTAAATAGGTATTTTGTCCCTCCTTTGAGACAGGAGCACTTCTTAGTCACTGCCAGCAGATGATATTACAGAAATTGTTCTGAAAATGCTTAAATAAAATTAACTTTGATTGCTAAATGTAGCAAACAACTTCTTGGTAACAACAGGAAGCAACAGTGAAATAAATATATCTGTATTATCTAAATATTGTAATATAAAATTGTACTGTAAAGAATTAAAAAACGTGCAAATAAAAATGTGTCTGTTTACTATGTTTCATCTGTTCTAACTTTTTTTATACAAGGCGTATAAATACTTGTTATTATTTTATTATGATTTGCGGACCTTCTGAAGAAGAAAGAAGCAAAGAAACTAATAATGCCCATTCCTGCTACGTGAATTACACTTAGTAAAATTCCATACTAATGAAGTTGGACCAGAGACACGTAACTCAGAAATAATCTTGACTGAAATGTGAGGTGAAAGTACTTTCATTCTTCAAATATATCTTCATGAAGTCAAGTTTGCAGCTCAGTGCTGTACATAATTCTCTTGGTCAACATGGAGGCAATTTACTCCTCCTAATGAACCTAATTTTTCTGTTTCCCACTACTCCATTACTTAAAAAGAAATCCCCATTATGTAACATTTATGACACACAACAAAAAAGCAAACTTAATTACCTCATCTTATTTACTAAACTTGTACTCTGAGATAAGTAGCCCACTACCAAACAGGCACATTTTCAACTGCTCATATACTATATCATAGCCTAAAGGCATTACTATGGTATGGGATTATGCTCCAAATGACCCTCTCATCACTTTACAGTGTACTCATCTTTACACTGAATTTTTTTGTTCATGCTTTGTTCTTATGGTTTTCTTAAATATGTGTTGATCCTAATGCAGAGACGTGATTATTCTCCATTCTCATTTGATCTCTAGCAACTACAAGATGAGAACAGAAATCCAGTTTCTCAGTTTCAAGCCATCTAAACATTTCCCTTTGACTCAAGGATCCAAATACCCGATACTTAGCTTTAGAGAAGAGCAGTCATTCTGCTAGCAAGAAAACACCTCGGTTCAAGGAATTCTACTGGCATTTCAAGGCACTGCCATGCCTTCCACTACCATGATACTGTCAAAGGGTGAACTTGGAGACAATCAGATAATGCAGCTTGTTCCAAATTTTCCTACTGATCTGCCCCATAACCATTTATATCCATTTTTATGCTTTCATTTAGACAAGAGACTTTTCACATTTAAAAAATATTAGACAAACATTGATTAATAATGGATAATTCTGTTAAGCATAGCAATTCCCTTCCTGCTTTTATAATAAAATGGCATGCAATCTGACGAAACTAAGTTTGAATATATGCATTAATCTTCATTTAACTTGAAAAGATTAAGCATGATCTTATTTAATGTGAACATACCAAATTGATCACACTGACATCAGGAAAACAAACAAACAAACAAACAAACAAAAAAAGCAGCAAGGTACTCTCTAAAGAAAACTTACCAAAACTTTTTAACCTAAGACAATGCACAGCTACTACAGAATTAAATACAGATGAAATTAGAGTTATGACTGAAAATACCCAAATTTTATTTTTCTTACCTGCTGGTTTACGGGGAAATTCCTGTTGATTTTTTTAATCTATAAAAATGAATGAAAAAATAGATTAATATCTCAGCCAGTTAAAGAAAAAAAACACATTAAGATTTGGAGACATGTGAGACACTTCCTTCCAAATTATGTGTGGGAGGAAAAAAAAAAAAGAAAATCTACTGTAGGATAATGATGAAAATCATATGAATAAAGGGACAATTTTGTAGTAACTCCATGGCTAATTCCTCTTTTTCAGAAAATATGAAAGGAGAATATATGCTGAATTATTTTCTAAATTCTACAACATCACATACTTTCCCTACTTTCTGAGCAGAAGCTGTGATTTAAACTGAAGTATTTAAGTAAAAGCTATTTAGGTCAATTTATCACCTTCCACAAAGTTGCTGGGCTTTAGGAAAATATTCTTCCTTAGAGAAAGATGGAAAATTGATCAGGAAGAGCATTTGAAATGAGATAACTTACTCTATACTCCTAAACTAGGTGCAGAATCAAGTGTACAAATTTAGTTTTGACAATTATAATTTGATAATCAAGCAATTTTTATCTTTAGAACAATAAGAAATACACTAGTTAAAATGTTATTACTAACCTAATCTGAGACTGAAGACTCATAAGGAGTTGGCATTTACACTATTGATGATTGATTCACTCTAAATAAACATTGCCAGCCATCTCACTAAAAAGTGTCCAACAGGAGAATTAAGTGTGGAACATACCCATTCTTGACATTAGGAGAAGAATAAAAATGTTCTTTTATTTTCAGAATAAGCCCTGAAATTTTTTTGAGCAAACCTAGAATATTTACTATCTGCATTCATTATAGATATTTCATTCCTATATTTAATTTTATGATCTTTTATGCCAACTTTTCACAATTGTTTTGGTAGTTATGGGTAAACGACTCAAGTACATATTAAAATTAAAGATATTATCATCAAGGAATGAATTCTGTTGCCCACTGAGCCCTAACAGAGCAGTGCAACATTTACACTGCTTCAGATAAAGGTAGAACATCTTTTTAGAATAAGAATCATTTTAGAAAAGAATCTCCATTTTTAAAAAAATTAAATAAGAAAATAATTTTTTCTTGTTACTTGAGATAGATTATCTAAAAGAGAAATGCTTCTTCAGTTTTCCATAATGTTACTTGACTCATCGTAAAATTACTAAGCACAACAACAGGACATGCACTACGTAACTAATGCTGAATGAATAACACTTGTTTTCTCCAGAGGACTGACAAAGAATACCAGTATGATAAACTGCAGAGATATATGCAGATATTTTAAATAAAACCTTGTAGGCAGGTAATCTGAGAATATCCATTAGAACGATCTGTTTAACTAGAGCAATACAAAATCAGTTGAGGTATAAGAGTAGAAACCACTAAACATTCTGTTCTGAAGAAAACTGCAGAAATCATTATGAAGGATGTATTTAGGTGAACGAGAAATACCTATGTCTACTTCATATTCAGCAAAACAGGTGCTAAGGGCTTAATTCTATTCAACTTCAACTCTCTGGAATGTGGATTAGCAAGAAAATTCTAAGAAAGCTGCAGAAAAAGTAGTTTGAGATTTGGTGATCACCAAAACCTGGGAAGAGGAGATGAGGTCAAAAACAAGTATCTGCCTCAGACTGCTAAGCAGGCAAGTGATGTTGGTAAGAGATGAAAAATGGAGAAGAGATAATAGCAGAAGCTATCTTAAAATAATGATTTGAAGTATAATTCATTGGGGTAAAAATACAGAAATTATGACTAGATACGTTTCAAAAACTCAAGCAGGCAAATGCTTCAGGATATCATAGCCATAAAAAGTACTGGACAGACAGTTTATATGAAGTGAGATAAAGAGAATAATTAATCATGGCCGTATTCAGTTAATTTGTGCATTGGGTATCAACACATATGGATAATGTTCAAAAGCTTCCTCTCTGCAGAAGAAACAAAGAAATTATGTGGGAGATATCACTCCTCAAAAGGGTGAGGAGGTTTTAGGTGTACACGATTATTTTATTTTGTATTTTATTTTTATTTTTTAACTGCCTTCATCCCAGAGAAGGAGAAAGTTAGCAGAATGTCCCCTACATACTATTGATTTTTTTGTTCTATTCTCATTGCCTCTGCTGGAATGCAGCTGATGAAACTGACAAAACCTGGGTTTTAAGCTTTAAAATTCAGTTGAAACTGAACTAAATTGTTCACTCCACTGAGAGCTACTATTTCAGACTTTCTTTAAGCAAATAGTACTACAATAACTATTTTTGGTTCCCATAAGAGAATTTTAAAGTACAATATAAAAGGCACTATTTATTAGGGAGTTTGACCTTTTTTACCCATTTATTTTAATGAAATTTGCCATTCCAATGTAATCATAGGATCCTCATGAGATGATGAGGAAAGGTGCCTTTCAGTGAGCATATGCAGTCGTTAAGGACTCTTAAGGGTAGTATTATCTAAACTCTAAGTTAAGGACACAGATTCCAGGTTTTTCCAATTCTCAACAATTTAAATTTACAAAAAAAAAAAAACTTTTTTTTTTTTTTTTTTAAAGTTTCTATGTCTTATGCTTCCTTTTATCTTATTTTCTTATTTCCTGAAAAAAAATATATTGTAAATGAGGGACTCATAGGTCTAATGAGATAGGAGGAAAAATGTGCAATGATAGTGTGGGTCTCAGGTACCATAAATGGGCCTCTGGAAGAAGCAACAGTACAGTAAGTGTTTACTGTCAGGACAGAGCAACTGACAGAGACTTCTTTATTACATATAGGAACCACTAAGACTGTTGTACCACATCTAGAATAAGGGTGAACCAACTCCTGCTCAGTATTTTGTTGACTTAGATAGTAAATAATATTTTCCCATACTTTCACATATGATCTATCTTTTCCTTCCAATCAACAGAAGTCATGTAGCTTTGTAGGTTTCCTCCGTCATCACAAATTTTCCATTAAAAAATTACCCTCTATTATTTTAATTTATGCTGGCCATATATATAGATTTCCCCAAACAATTTAATCTTTGGAGCCTTCTTTAATTTTTTTGCATTTCATAACTGCTGATTTGCATTCATTAATGGCTAATTAAATGCAATAACTTTCTCATGCATTAATGCAACAAGAAAGTGCATGCCAGTAGGATGTTAAGTGGTTGCAAACAGGCAGCAAGATCATTACAAATTGGAGCAAGTTGGAAAAAAAGCATGAATCCATTCTGTGATGATCCTGTATTAATGGAAGAGGACAAAAGAGTAAATGGGCAATTAAGAGACAGTAAGCATGATTCAGGAAGCCCCATATGAGCAGACTGGCAAAAGTCCTGAAGTAGCAGCTGGCTAAAACGATTATAACTGAATTCTTGCTATCATTATACACGATACTTGATGGATTTTTATTCTGGGTCAGTATTAGTATGTAAATAACCCTGGATTAACTTTCCATATGGAAACTGTAAGTTTCCTTTGAATTCTATATATAAGAGGAAGAAAATACCTCAGATGGTGCTGAGGTCTCATCTGGAAAGTAGCTCTGTAGTTGTATGAGTTTGTTTGTTAAATTCTTGTACTGACTATCCTTGCATTAGCCAGTGGGATAAAATAAACTAAAAACTTGCACATTTCATGAGCTGCTGACACATGCAGATCTTTGCTAAATATTGCTACACACACAGGATGATTAGTATGACGTGGGGATGCCCCCCTTCAAAAAATAACAAAAAAAAAAAAACCACAAAAACAACCCCAAAACAAAAACATAAAAACATACAGACCAGTTGATTATCATTCCTAATAGAGGTCTTACACTGATGCATAGTTAGGCAGTATACTTACATATTAAAAAGCTAGAATATGTTAAGCATATAATCAATTTATGGTGTATAAGAACACTATCAAAGGAAAAATGGCCATCTGAACTATGATTCCAAACATGCATATTACCACATCTGTTTAATGTGCTTCCACATCAAGACAGGTTCAGTGATGCACTGAACTCTACCAGCACAGCATGCTGTTAAAGCAACATTGCTAACAATCAAAAGCCAATGCTGGAAAAAGGCTATAACGGTTCCAAGAGAAAGCAAAAAAAACATCTGTCTCCCTATTGAAGATTTATTAGAAGCATTTTGAACAATATAAAAACAAAAAAATTATTAAAACAAATGACCCAGAAGGAGATACAGGAAACATTACTTTGATAATGAAATACAACTGGATAACAGTCACTTATCTCATAATACTGACTGCTCATTGCAGTACAATTACTGAATTATCAACTATGTGAAAAGTAAAAAAAAAAAAAAATTAAAAATGGAGTAAAATAACTACTCAAAAAATAGTTAAATATATTTCTGTTGGGCATCTCCAAGTTATACTTTACTTACATTTACATTGACAGAGACCACAAAATAACATTTAAACTTCAGAATATGGTAGGAGTAACAGGTCATAATGACTGGTTCAGTAGACGACAAAATGTAAAGGAAGCTGTTACATCCTGAACTCTTCATGACCTCAAAATGCCAACACCTTGGAGCTTCAATATACATGCACGTGTCAAAAGAACCAGGTTAAGGCAATGAAAAGAATTAGGTCTTGAAATAAGAGCACAGTGAAGCAAACATTGGATCATTCTTCTTCACAAAATCAAGACAGTACAGGTGCCTATACAAAAAGACATGAAAAATACTTGAATATGCATACTGTTGAAGAAAATATTATTTAGTAAGTGTGCTAGATATGATTAAGATATGTCACTGATTCAGTCAGAAAGGATTCTGGACTTGGAGTAATTTTTTTCAAAAAGAATATATGGGTTTTCATGAGTAAATGTAGTAAACCAGATCACTGTATATTTAATACATAAAATTATTTGTGCTTGTTGTGAAACTGGGATGATAAACAACAAGCAATATACATATAGGAACTAACAAGGATCATTTTTTGTCATTTGTATTTATGTTATAAATTCAGTAATTCATGTCAGCTAATAATGGAGTGAAGTCAGCTAATAATGGAGTGAAGTCA